ATGTGAGGTGATTTAAAAGTCGTGCGGTGACTTCAGGGCAGCGCGCTGCTAACTGGCTTTATATAAGAAAGGCAGGCACCGTGCCTGGCCTCTGTTAACATGACTCTCGCGCCGCGATGTGATTCGATGTGGAAGTCACAAGCARACGTTATATGAACAAAACTATTAAACTCTGTRGCATCATTTGCAATTTTTATTAAATTATGCAATCCCGTKTTTCTCAGATTGTAATCAATGCAATTACTTTTTATTGACCAATAAAATTGTGATAAAAAGTGAGCCACAGTACAATGCAATTTGTAAATGGCACGTGATTCTTAATAGTAATTAATTAATAGGTTTGCGCAATACTTGTAAGCTTGTTACAAAACCGTTTATGGGAGTCTAATTTATCAAAAACGTTTAAATATGAGAACTAAAATCTTTTATCAAAAAAGGTGAAGTTTTATCGCTATAATGTTTTGCAGATCCTTCAAAATTTTATTAAACTTAAGGCCTTTGACCAAAGAAAAAAAAAGTSTAGTGGCACTAAGTATTAGCAACCGTTAAAGTCTATGTACATATGTATGTGTATGATTCAGCCGCACAAATTTTTAATTGATAGCTTAGCGTAATGACTATAAATACGGACATCCTTTACCTTCACATTATTTGCATTAACAGTATTGTGTTGAGATATCGGTAAGTTAGTAACGTCTCTTTATTTGCTAATATAGATGCTGACATTTAATATGACAGCTGACAAATGAAATTTTTTTCGTGTTTGAAGTGTCAGAACTCATAAAAGTACACATCATTTTCCAAATTTTTCATATTATCTGCAAAAAAGTGTCGGAACTACTTAATTGATGAACTTATTTTAAATTTGGAATCAGAAGTACTAACAGCAGTATACATATTTATAAATATATACATACACGCATACATATATTCAACAAAAAGTTTGCCGGTATTTTAATTATAAATAGCCCTACTTGCTGAAGTGAGAGGCGGGAAAAACACTTATTTTTTATATGAATGGGTTTTAGAACGTCATAGTGGTCTAAGTCTCACAATGTTTTCGAATTTGCTGATATTTTATAATTATATACACTAGTACAAAAATATGATCAACCAATTTCCAGTTGTGTGATTTTAAATCATGAGTTGGCGAGATTAGYGCTGCGCACGTAGTACTACCTGTCGATAAATGAAGTCATAAACTTGTAGAATTATCTGTAGCTATATATGTATATATGTATATAAATATATGTATGTATGTATGTATGTATATATAATAATGTATGTATATATGTAAGTGGAAATGCAGAACTTATAGCTAAAGTATTGCGCTGATAAGCGGCGTAGATGACAGAGAAAAACACGCATAGATTGAGTATCTCTCTCGATGAAGCTTCCAAAATAAAGCAARACCGTCTAAAAATAGTGATAACAAGAAGGCTATAAACAACTATAGCCGTCAATATGAGAGTACAGATTATACGCACATATGATATATGTATTTAAATAAGAGGAGTATGCGCTCTCTGTAGCATTAGCGAGGTGCTTGCTTTCGGCACCCAGTAAGCATTTATTAGGTAATTTGTGAAATTTTTTATGTATAGAGGTTATATGTGTTTCCTCGAGCAAAAAGGACATATTTTCAATATTTTTTTTTTTAATTTTTTTGAAATTTTTTTTCTTAATTTTTTTATTTTATTATTATTTTTTTTTAAGATTGATAGTATTCTAGGGTTAGACATTTTAGAAAGATTTTGTGAAATATTCAAGGAAAATATTCCAACTCGAATACGACTCGGACAGATTGCGTCAATAAAACATAATTTATTAAGTTTGCCACGAAAGTTTTAGCACCCATCTTTTTGTCTAGAAATCGTTAACTTTACGGAATCTTTAATATCGGACTACTATAAGCAGCTTTCAGCTGCTAAAGTTTACTTTAAGCTAAACTGTCGCTTGCTGGGTTATCCACAAGCAATTAACGCAATACATCGATCCCGCCAACACAATCAACAGGGCTACGTGAGGCAGCGTGAGATTAAAAATGCCGTCTACTGACTCTTTATTCGTCTGGGGAACGTCGCGCTGCTCGGTTGCTTCGGCGCGCGTTTGCGGTCTGAATTTGGAAACTTTCGTTAAAATCAAAATACCTAAATAACACGCCGATCGGTTGAAAAATCGTCTTAGTTAAAAGGAAAGAAAGAATACTTTGATCACGGCGTTGTTAAGAGCGAACATGACACCTGACAGTGGTGCAATAAACAATGCGGCATCTGCAACGGTGGCCAATGAAAATGCAGACTCCAACAAAGGTGACGATGACTGCACTTTGGATGGCATTTTGGYGCGTATAGGGCAATTCGGCCGCTTTCAGCTCTTCAACTATGTGCTGCTGTGCATACCGATGATCTTCAATGCCTTCTTCTCCATCTCGTATGTGTTTACGGCGAGTACAGTGGTGCACAGGTGGGTGTGAAGACAATTTCGTTGCGTTACATAAACCAAATATTAAATAATAATAAAATTTATAACAATAAATCTGTATGTGCAGATGTAACGTGACGCAGTGCGACAGCGCGTGGAGCGCCTACGATGAACGATGGCTCAACTACACCATACCCATGAWGGGCTCAAGCTATGATCAGTGCACGCGCTATGTGTCTAACGGTAATGCCGAACGTACATCCACGAATTATTATACACAGCCCTCGAGTGAGTTCTGCGCACCGGCGTATTTCAGTCAAAGTGTTACAGAGAAATGTGGAAACGATTTCAAGTTTCGCGATACTGAATATACGATATCGAATGAGGTAGTCCTGAGACAAAGCAGTATTCAGCTTTACTTTCTATTAATTTAAAAAAATTTTTACAGTTTTCCATCTTTTGCTCGAGCATATGGATGCTGACCTTGGTCGGTACGGTGAATAATATTGGACAGTTTGTGGGCATACCAGTGGGTGGATTTTTTGCAGATCGGTAAGTAAAACTTCTAAAGGAATGCACCAAAAAACTGGAGGTTGTTGTTGTTGTTGTGGCGAATTCTGCCGAGTTGACAGTGCTTGGCCGGATAAAAATCCGGGTCCATGCCGGTTACGTAGACCCCACTGTCGTGGGAACTGAAAACACTGGAGATGCTTTACTGTAGTTTGGAACCTCAATAAATCTTTTTGGCTCTATTTAACAACTTCATTGCATTAAGTCTAGCGGACAAATGTTTATCTCTTCAAAACAGCGCAAGCATATACATACAAATAAACCACACGGACTCGAGTTAACATGGAAAATATTTTGATTACAATTTAATCTAAATTTTCTACTTTTTATCGCTCTTAGTTTTGGTCGTCGCACAATGCTCGCCGTAGGCGGTTTCCTYAGTGCCATTATGGGTATACTGCGCTCGATATCCACCAACTACTACATGTTCATAGCTTTCGAATTCATCGATATGGCTGTTGGTAGCACACTCTTTCCAACGGCATTTCTGCTAGCCATCGAATTAGTGGGACCCAAACGACGCGTGGCCGCCGCTACCATCATAACCATTTTCTATTCGCTTGGCGAGGCGTTGTTGGGTGTTTTAGCGCAACAATTCCAGAACTGGCGTGATTTATTGCGCGTGCTCTACACACCAGCGCTCTTACTGATAGTCTTCCTTTTCGTGCTGCCGGAGAGTGTACGCTGGCTGCTGAGTCAGGGTCGAGAGGAGGATGCTACACACTTGTTGAAACGTGCCGCACGCATAAATAAACGTGAAATACCAGAAAATGATCTGAAAGCTTTGGTAGCGGAAAACCAGGCGAAGCTGGCGCAGGCGCACGAAAGCCACTATCCGATAGTGAAAGCTTTAAAGCTATTTCGTTGGCGTATTTTGAATTGTTGCTTCTGTTGGTTTACGCACACTTTGGTTGCGCTGGGCCTGAGTCTTACCTCGGTCACAMTGGGCGGTAACAAGTATACAAATTTTCAATTGAATGGCTTGGTACAAGTGCCCGGCTTAATTTTGCCGCTATTGATTATGGATCGCATTGGGCGTCGCTACTCGCTGTGTGGCTCGATGCTAGTGTGTGCGATTTGTATGGGCATTACAGCGTTGGTGGGTGGAAGTATGCTAGTATAAATGTGCTTTTAGAGCTTTTAAAGTTCACAAAATTTTTTCTCGTTTTTCTTTTCTGCTTTATAGATCATGAGGTTACCGAGTTGGTGCTCTTTTTAATCGGCAAATTTGCTATTACATGCAGTTTCCAGATCTTATACTTTTTCACCTCGGAAATATTCCCTACAAATGTACGCAACAGTTTGCTGTCATTTTGCTCTATGATTGGACGCATCGGATCGATGCTGGCTCCACAAGCACCACTTTTGGTAAGAATTAAACTTATACATTTAAAAATTTATTGCATTTTAAATGCTTTCAGGCCAATTACTATGAGTATGCGCCGCAAATACTCTTTGCTAGCTTTGCATTAATTAGCGGTACATTAACGCTGCTCTTCCCTGAAACGACTGATAAAGTCTTACCAACAACGCTACAAGATGCCGAGCAATTGAATGATAAAAAACGTCAAAATAAGGCAAATATTGTTGAATGAGTTAGATTGCGCGTTGGAGTGAAGTGTTTTGCGAGTTGTAAAATATATAGCAATTACACTTAGAAATTTTTGTTAAAATATTCTATATTTAACACATTTGCATGAATACTTAATTTAAATGTGTATTAATGTATATTTTTATATGTGTAGAAATACGTTATAGGTCGTAGTGTAATATAAAAACTAGTAAATAAAATTGTTTTCGTTAATAAATATATTTAGCGTAGAATTTATCGTGAAACTATGAGCACTTACCTAGTGGTCTTGAGAGAAACTTACGCATCCATACTATGCTTGAAATAAATATGGAATGTCGTTTTTTTTATAAATTTTAATGACAATATAGATGTACTATTGTGTTTTGCTACTTCTGGCAGGCCGTTTAATTGAATATTAGTTTTGTTAGTTGATATTTGGATATACGTAGTTTATTATAACTGCTTCTTTTACGTTTCTATATGCTTGTCTATATGTATTTTATTCATTATTGATATTATTTGCATTTCGAATGCATAAAAATGCATAGTTATTATATTTTAAATATCAGTTCAACTCAATATATCACACTGCTGCGCTGTGCGTTTTAGGACGATTTGAAAGTTTTCGGTAACTACATAGTCATCCTTAAAAATTACCAGCAGATTTAATTCAAACTCTAAACACAAAAAATCAATTTAAATTAGAAGCTTTTAGTCATTTGTGTGCGCTGCAAATTTACCTATTTTAAAGTTCTTTGTAATCAATGTTGGACATGTGAACAAACGTGGTAAAATCATGTAGATAGGTATTTCGAGCTTCGGGCAAATGTTACCGTCTGCAATTTGTATGGTTTGAATTTCTGTGGCATCTTTCGAATATCCCTCCGTGCAGCCACATGTCTCCACACGCAGTAATTGCAATTCAATTGACTTTATAGCCACTTCAGTATGTTGAACTGTTAACTGTAAAGAAAATTAACATGTATTATCATTACTTTATAAATATTTGCATATAAGCACGCACCTGTCCAGTCAGCGGCCGTGTTACACAACATTCGGTCTGATTTAATTTACCTGTTATCAGAAATCGTGGTAAATTTATACGTTCCTTTGCAGACTTTTGTAATGTTTCTGGACTTATACTGAAATTCACCTCACTCGATGTTAGCGTTTTTGTGTCTACTGCAACTGGTTTATTTTGTATGCAAAACTGTTGTATTTTCTGTAAAGACTTTGCCAAAAAACTACGTTTTACGTCACAACGTAGCAGGTAATTAATGTTGATAAATACTCCATGATATGTTTCATAAAGCACACGAGGCTCTTTGTTACACACTAATGGCAGCTCGAAATGAAACTCCGAGATTCCTGCAGATAATTTACCAGGCGCWGCCAATTCTAGTGTTGTATTGAATAGTGTTATGGGTTTCACAGAATTGTAGAAAGCTTCAAAAACACCGACGTTTTTTGTACTTAGCTGTAAATTGACTACACCTTCTAGTGCAAGTAGAATGCCTTCGTGTTTAGCTTCCGTGTTGCAATTGAAATGCACGCAACCCTTAAGTAGTTCCTGAAAGATTTTTTATTCAACACTTATATTTTTACCCAAAAATTAGTACTTTTTGGTTACTTACACCCTCATAATATATTTTATTTTCCTTATTTAAACGTATTTCGAAGTTAATTGCATTCATTGTGGTAGTTTAATTTAATTATTCAGGAAACAAACTTCGCGCAAAATGCACATAACAGCTGTTTTTATGAATGGGGCATTGTTACGCAGGCACTCAAACTGTTCAAATTTTGTAAAATCGCAGATTTCTGAAAAAATATGTACTTTAGTACTTTTCGGAAGAAATAATTAAAGAAAACAAATATATTTGATCTTTTATTTTATTATAATAAATTAAATAAAAGTTACATACAACCTGAATTTAAAATTTAAAAAAAAATCCTATCGATAGATAATTTCGATTTCTTGATGACTAGCTCACATATAAATTATCGCCATGTATCGATTTCCCAATCATCTTGGAATGGTCTTTGATTTTTTGTTATTTTCCCAATAGTCGGATCAAAGTGCTTTTCTTTTAATCCAGTTGCAGATTGGATTAACAGCTTAAAAATTGTATAGATTTATGGCATACACATATATTATGGAGAATTTGAAGACGATATTAAAATCATACGAAAAATGGGTGGCTGCGAACCCAGAAACTGTCTGCGACGTTGAGACTACCACAAAATGGATATCTTATTTCATTGCTGGTAAGCTTATTTTCAATTCCATATAATTTCCCAATATAATTATTCAATCATAGGGCGTATTTCGGATTCAAATGTGGTTTCCGAGCTCGTGTATACTTTATCCAATATACTGGTACTGTATAATGACCGTATCATCGACCAATCGCAACAAAGCAAATTGATATCCGATTTGCAACCTGTGAACCTCGAAGCAAGTACTAGTGTCTTTGCGCAACACAACAACAAAAAGGCAAAGTATATTTACCGTCTAAAGGTCATGCTGACCACTTTAGAATATTGTGAAGTTTTCATCGAAATATCTGCTACACGAATTTTCGGGAATAAAGGCAAATGGTTATTCATTACTTTGGTGCAATTTGCTAAAGCGGCAGGCCGTTTCTACATACTAAAACATTCGACACAAAAAATTATCACAACACCTACACTCCCCGCACTTAATCGACGTGCCATTATAAAGAAACAAAAGAATGCGTTGAAAAATGGTTTAATAATTGAAGATTCGATCGAAACAAATGGAAAATTGAACTCAAATGGATTTGGCGAAAGCAGTTCTATATTCCAATTGAAACGTTCCGGACGTGTGATACGTAAAGTAGAAGGTGCGCCACCAATACAGTATCGCGATTTCAAATTGGCAGAAGAGCAAAAATTAGAAAATTGTGACAATTCGGCGAATTTCCGTTTGGTACAAGCAGAATATCTGTATATAGCCAAACCGTTAATACACTTAACCGCAATGGGTTTGTTTGGTGAAAAACGTTGGAAACAATATGTCGTTTCACTGGTATTGGATTTGGCCAGCATACGTCTGTATCACCAGCATCGACAACAGATGAGCAAAGAACAGAAATTGGAGCTATCACGTCGTTGCATCAACTTATTGTTATATTTGGTACGTTCACCTTTTTATGAACGTATCACACAATCACGCCTAGATCGAATGCTAGGCTTTGTGGCCGACAATGTGCCACTGATTAAAATGATTGCAGGACCATTACGTGAATATTTGCCCTACTGGCAAGGCACTTACTTCTACTTATGGTCAACGTAAAAATTATATATATTGGATGTATTTTCGATTTATGGCTTACAAACCTAGTATTGACTTAAAATATATTGTATTTAAACGTGGAGAGTATTTAGTTAGGGAACGATCATAAATGCTATTATGTAGTATAGTTAAGAAATAAAKCAAATCCTTTTGTAAAAGCAACGTATTAGTTTTACATTATTCAAACATATTTATGTAGCCAGTCTTTCAATTAACATCAAAGAGAAATATAGTAGTCGTATAACTAACACAACGCACTTCCTGGTTTTTGCCATTCTAGCCACTTAAATATTTCTTAAATAGTGCCACTCGTGTAAATCCGAAGGCTGTAAGAAAAAGATTTGCCCCACGCCCTGATAGTGAAATAAAAACAATTTTTTTGTTTGGATTTTACTTTTCTTGCAAAATTTTATGCTTGTATTTCTCTTATAGGTCTTTTTCCAGCATAGGCTTCTTTCCATTCTTATAAACATTTATTTTTACATTCGGTTTTCTGCAGTTAAGTATTTATTACATCTAGAACATTGTTATATTACTCAAAAAATGCTTATATCTATCCAACTGTTGTTCTACTTCTTTAATGATTATTATGTTTGCCTGACCTCGTGTAAGCCTTTAGGTATAAACCTGCCGCCAACTCTAATGCGTGTATGTAATTTGTACAATTTCAACGATAAATTTTTATCTAAAATTATTTAGATGTTATTATTAACAGTTTCTAAAATTACGAGTTTTTTGTTTTAAGCTCTCAAGGATTCTCTTTGTTTTGTTGGTAAAATCGTTTGGTTGAACTTCTTTTGTGATAATGGTAAATTCAAATGATTTAAGTGACGGTTTTAACAATTTTTCTGGACTGTAGCTTACGAGCTATTCATATTTARCGAAAAATGATAAATCTGGATCTTATGCTCGTAATTAACTAGAACGGTTAATTAATGACTAATATATTTTGTAAAAGCAATAGTACTGTTAAACACATTCACACTCAAATATCAGTTAACAAATAGTGCGTGGCAAAGTGTTTATTAAAATTTTAAATTGAATCCCGGACCCATGGCCAGTTGACGCTGATCAATGCCTGCATTTAGCACAAAACCAGTATTCGCAGCAGTTTTCTTATTGCCTGTTATAATGCCAGATATAACTTTACTACTGCTATTGGCAACACCGGCCGCATTGCTTCCACCACTACTGCCCACAAGTATTTCGTCTCGACCCAATTGTTTAAACTGCGAACCGCCAGATGGTGGTTTAGGCGAGGAGGCGAGCGCTTTACGCGCACCCAATTCACTTTTTGCCGGCCATGTAGGAAACATAGATGGATCGATGGGCAGAGGCAGCTCATTGAAGTAGCTGTGTTTAAGGGCCGCTTCAGCGGTCAGTCTTTTCTTGGGATCATAGGTGAGAAGACCCTGTAGCAAGTCAATGCCTAAGTCGGTGGTTTTGTCGGCGAAACGCCTACGTAAATTTGAAACAGGATAGTCAGCGAATTGGGAATTCTGGCTTAACATATTCTTAACAATTGGCAAATCTTTATAACCGGGCCAAATTCGTTCGTTTGGTGTGCCGAGTTCCTGCAAAAAGAAATAAATAATTAGTATCGCATAGGGCGCTGAAGTAGCTTTTGATATAGTTTCACCTTGAAAATTTTGTTTAGCTCATCTGTCTCCGTTTTGCCGGGAAATAGTGGCCCCATTTGTAAGAATTCCCCAAAAATGCAACCCACCGACCAGACGTCGATGGGTGTTGAATATTCCAGTGTGCCAAGCAATAACTCCGGTGCTCGATACCATAGAGTAACAACCAATGAGGTGTAATTTTTCAATGGTGAACCATATTCTCGCGCCAAACCGAAATCGCCTACTTTCAGCACACCCTTGTGCGATAGCAACAAATTAGACGTCTTTAAATCGCGATGTAATATCCAGTTATCATGTAAATGGCCAACCGCTCGCAATAATTGCTGCACCAGACACTTGACTTCGCCGGGAAGGAAGAATTGCTTACGCGCCTTCATCGTCTCCATCAACGATTTCAAGTCGTGTTCCACATAATCCATAACAATGAAAATCTTATCCATATTGGAGCCAACAACTATTTCGCGAACCGTYACTATGTTTGGATGCTGACCTTTTAGTAAAGTATTGATTTCGCGTAAAGATGTTATGGGAAAGCCTTCCTTTTCCTTCTCCATTTTTAAGCGTTTTAAAGCAACTATCTCGTTGGTACGTTTATCCTTGGCGCGGTATACCACACCGTATGTRCCCTCCTCAATGCGATTCAGACATTGGAATTCTTCGACAGAGCGACAACCCTGTATGCCTGGAAAATAGTCTGGCAGTGGTGCACCTTTGTCATCGCGTGCTGGCGAGTCATCTCGGCTACCACCTTCTACACGACGCTTGTTACCAGCAGTAGCTTCTGCCTCCGATTTATGYGCCGATTTCATATCGCGCTCTTCTGAACGTGAGCGTGAACGTGTTCGCGACTTTGAACGCGAGCGCGAACCTGATGAATGGGAAGGTGAGCGCGAGCGTGAAGACACTGACCGTGAATCAAAATGCGAATCTGAACGTGAACGAGTACGAGAACGTGATCGTGAATGTGTTGTGCGGTGTCGTGAAGACTCACGTGAACCTGAATGCGAAAGCGAACGTGAATGTATGCTCTTTCTGCGAGGTGAGTGTGAACGAGAGCGCGAAACTGAACGTGAGTGGGAGATTGAATGGGCGGAATGAGAACGCGAACGTGATAAACGTTGATCGCCATCTTCGTCATCGTTTTCTATGTGCTTTTTGGATTTTTTCTTCTTGTGCTTTTTTGTGCGATGTTGACGACGAGGCGATTTCGAAAGCTCACCTATAGAAAGTGGACTTTCGGGTAGTTCTAGGTCATCTTCATCTTCCTCATCATCGTCATCGTCATCATCATCAGTGTTATCGTCATTATCAACACCATTGTTACGCATCCGATGGTTATGATGCCTTCTACTCCTTTTCCTCTTCTCTGTTTTGCTATGCTTACGGTAATGTTTTTCGTGCCGCCCCTCAGCAGCTTCCACCTCAGAATGGCTTTCGGTGTCACTTTCACTATCACCACTGCCACTGTCCGTTTCCATATCGTCGCTATCATCCTCATCTGCCTCATCGTCTTCGTCATCACTGTCTAACGCCTCACCTTCTTCCTCTTCGTCGCTACGCTGCTTTGAAGTTTTCTTTGATCGTTTAACTTTTACAACCACCTCGGCCAACTCTTCCTGTTTCTTACGTTTCATGACGTTGAGCCCAGCAGTAACGGACGCTGCCACAGCGCTTGGACTAAGCGCATTTCTAGCACGACGGCGTGCTTCCAATTCCTCACGTGCTTTTTCTTTGCGTTTTTCCTTCTCACGTTCCACAGCTAGTATTTTTTCCCGTCGTGACAATACCTCCGGATCCTCAGGAGTTTTGCGTTTTTCTGTGCGGTCGACGCGTTCCGTCGACACAACCGTCTCCACTTGGACGATTGCACGCTCTTTGTTGCGCCGTTTATGTTTGCGGCGTTGGCGGTGCGCTTCACCTTCTTCTACAGCTGTACCCTCCACTTCAGCCACCTCCGGACTGTCTAGCACCTCAATTACGGATTCTCTAATCTTTTCGCGCTTCTGCCGATAACGTTCATTACGTTCACCATCACTGAACCGTTGTCGCTGTACTGTTGTTGTTGTCTCATAACTTTCCGTTAGCTCGATCATATCGCCGCCACTGCCTTTTACATATTTATGCCTTTTACTAAGCAGTCGTGAACGCAAATCCTGTTCAATGCTTTCCGATTCGTTCTGCGCTTCGTAGTTATATTTGCGCCGCTCACGTTGCACCTCATAGTTGACATCATTGTATTCAACATGTGTATGCTTGCCACCACCACCGTATGGTTGTTGCTGTTGGTGGCGATTGTTATAATAATCCAGACCGCCATGATGGTACCCGCCGCCACCTGAACTGCGTTCGTAGTAATCCGGTCTTTGTCGCTGCATATGTGAGTGTTGATATTGTTGATGATAAACAGCGCCACCGCCGCCTCCACCACTATTACGTCGCACCTCATTGTGTGWTTCGTATTGCTTTGCATAACGGCGCTCGCTATTCGACATCATATCTTTGTTAATAACGTCATCGCGCTCATAACCGCTGCTGCCGCGTTGGTGATAACGCAACATCTCTTCACGCTCCTCGCCGCCACGTCGGTGGTCGCGACCTCGCTCTATATCACCTGGACGAGGACCTCCGCCGCGGTCGTTGCGCATGTCACGCTCTCGGCCATGTGGTTCCCGTGTGTCGTAATCGCGTGGATCGCGTTCCCTATCGCCACGTTCACGCCCACTTCCTCGTTCGCGCTCGCTGCGATGTTTCTTCTCTTTGGAATGTTTTTTCTCTTTAGACGACTTGTCTTTGCGCCGCGAGCCGGTGGAGTCGCGCGAGTGCAGCACGTTCGCTTGTGGTGGTTTAATGTCCAAAGAATCCGCATCTTCGTCACCGCTAATTAATTTTAATTATGATGAAAATATGAAATAAAATCGGTAAAACTTGGGAAGAGAATAGATATCTGTGTTTGATTGTGATAATTCAGTTTTTTTTTTTTTATCATAATTGTTACTATAAAATTAGGTCATTAAATTTTGCAAAGTAATAAAAACAAATGATGTATGCAAGTGAGTGATGAAAAATTTAGTGATATTTGTTAGTTAAAGATATTGATATTTGCCAGCGCTGACGCACGCTTCCAGTCATCGCCTTTGCCATTTGACAATATGTACTCAATTCATGTTCACTGCTTTGTGGCCTGGTTAGTGTACATACCGCTTCAGTTTCGTGCGGAGTCCAGTGTGCAAGTTCAAAAAGAATATCTTTGGCGCTTTGCAATGGCCAGTCGAAACACATTAACTCAATATTGTTTTTTTTTGTTGTTATTTTTTTTTAAGTAAATAAGTTGTAAATCTAGTATTTTTTAACTTACATCCGTAAAAAATCAAGAAAATTTTTTTATCGCCTCGATGTCAATTTACTTTTTTGGCTTGGTCTGCTTGAGATTGTTTTAGGGAACTTGCTATATTTTTGGAGAGCAGAGCAAAGTAAAAATATTCAAGATCAAAGTGTAGTAATGATTTCTTTAGAAAAATTGAAGTTTGCGCTTAATGCTATTGTAGTAATAATAATGCTTAAAGCGAAATATTTCATAAAAAAACAATATGAACACATGTTCGACTACTAAATAAGGTGTGTTTCATAGATGCAAATTTATGTGAAGTATAGAAGAATTGTATAAGATCAAATCGTTGTAATTTACTTTAACATTTGAATGCTTATTTTCGTTGGTTAGTATTTGATATGATTATACTAGAAAGATATAACCAAATTTGGAGTATTCACATATTAAACAATCGCAATTTCTACKTAGTGATGGTGAATACCCTATTGTTGTTCTTATGTAATCGACACAAAGTCTAYGTACATATGGGTAAGTTTTTTGTTGTTGTAGTATGCGTTATATGTTAGGCAGTTACTACGAGAGTTAAGACTCATTGCAAAGAAAAGTGGCGAAAACAGTGGTAGGAGTAATGTCCAATATATTTTTCCTAAGCTTACAGGTTTATTCTTCGGCTGATGACTTTTGAATGCTCAGATAACTTGTGCGAAACCCACTAATTTCAATAGTATAAAACGAGCAAAGCCATCCGCTATCCAAGTTACATTGTATTAAGAAATATTTCCGAAAAGATTTAAAAAAAAAAAACATTTTTAAATTTAATAGAAATTTAATAACGGTTTTAGGGTAAATATACAATGATTGGTTAGTGGCCTAAATTGTTATTTTAAGTAAAACAGTTTTCTGGTTAGATTAGGTTAGGCTGGCTGGACAGCCAATCATACACAGACAGATGGAAGCTTAATAATAAGAGCTGAAGTTCACGCAGGTCGTCAACGCAACTTGCGAAGTTTGAACAGTTTTCTAACAAATACTAAACCACATAACATAAAATTGAGCAATTTTAGATTAAAATTAAAGGAATTTTATGTTACATTTTATACCAAGGGAGAATCATTTATATTTATTTAGAATTGGTAAACTACTTGGTCATTTTTAATACATATACATATGTATTTGCTAAAATAATTCCATTGTATTCATAAAATGCTAGAAATAACACAATAATAAAAATGAAACGCACCTCAAGTAGTGTCCCATCACGTTAGATTTCATAGGAGAGCATAGTCTGTATACATATACAAGCGTTTGTCAACATTTCGGTATCTATGGCATCCACTTAATTTAAGTAAAATGACTAATTAAAGATCATACAGATACGTATGCACATGCACAGCTTTTTACGCGTACCTATGCTTTGCATACTTGTCCTTTTCTTCATACATATTTACAATAAGTAGCTGTTGTATACTTACACAAGCACGTCATCTACCCTTAAAAATAGAGTAACATACATAAGTACGTTGATCGTATTAAATATTTCTACTTAATATGAAGTACTCACTCACACTCACCTTGAATTCTTTTTTTTACCTTGCGAAGCCCATTAAACAATTCAGTCAAGCAATGTGTCCAAGGCATACCAAAAGTAAATCGACATCAGCAGCTTATACCTAGGAACTCAATTTATATTTGGAAGAAAAATTGAAAGTAGAAATATTTCTTTTGTTGTATAGAGAAAAGAAATAAATACTGAAAAATGTTGCGTTAAATGTAAATACACTTTTTAACAAAAAATAAATTTACCAAACCAACAAGTCTGTTGTCCAGCTCAAATTTGTCGTACTCTACATATTTTTGGTGTGCAGTGCGGGAGCGCAAAGTGAGAAGAGTTGTACGACTCGTAGCCAGAGTAACAATAGTAATATCTGCCTATTCGTCTGTCTCACCCACCTGCATAGACGTCAACAATATAACTAGTAGAATGCACTCCACTCAACTAGTGGGCTTTTCAGTATTTGCGTATTACAAGCAGGCGGTCAGCTGGCTAAACACAGTATGATACATTGTTGATAAGCACACATACATATGTGTATATATATTTATTTATTCTCGCCAAACTCCCGGCTTTACAGGCAATAGGAATGTGATAAAGTGGACTTTCTTCCTGTTACAGTCGTTTCAACATCATCTTTTGAGCCTTATTGCATTACCGACGATCATGCGCGCGCACCATCGCTGTCTTGAGGAAATACGACGTAACGCGTAGGGTATCAAACTTTTTCTATTATTTTTGCACCAATATACGCGGAATTCAGAGTTCATGTTAACTTTTTATGATTTTTTTTTTGTTTTTTTTTTTTTTTGAGATATTTTGGGTGTAATTTATTTTTACATTTTTGTTTATAATTTATATTATTGTTTTTTGATTTAATGTGAATAGATGGTGGCCATCGCGCGCATCGTTCTTTGGACATGTACACACTTTTTGGCCTATTTGCAATGAAAAAACTTGAGTAAATTAAAAAGTACTTAATAAAGTGGTATTATGTTTAGACCTAATGGGCTGGGGAGTGGATATATGGTAATTACTCGAGGTTAATGATTTTGATTTGGAAAGGCATAAGGTCTGCTGAAAATGTTGGTAAGTTTATGAAAGGGAGTTAGAGTAGGGTTGAGAATGTATTTTTTGTATATAAAAACATTACAAAACTAAGCAATTATATGAGAATTTTATTCACAAGACTTTGAATAAAATATTTSAAATGTACATTTATGATAAATGATTGTATTATATTTGCTTAATTTTGTAATGAAAGCTGCGCCATGCTATACACATTTTTTTAATTACAAATGCAAAATTTTTATGTGCTTTTGCACTTTCAATAATTTCCTAAAATTCACAATTCAACAATCTTCAAAAAAGTAATGCGTAAATATTATTCCATGGAAATTTGTTTTCAGTGCCCTTCAACCCATAGATTCTACATGTATGACTGTGACTAAAGACACGAGTTATACACACAATGTGATTTCCCTTCTAYTCTCCCCATAATAAATACATCGATTGGGCAAACAATTTTCCATGGTTTTTCAAGACATAAAATACACACCTTAATCCAAAATTATCATTGCCAGGACTTTGTAATTGTCCGTCTTCACTGCCAGACATAATGCAAAATCTGGTGAATTATCAGATGAATGTAATCAGCGAAATTTTATTTGCTAAAATCTGCCAATTACTGTCGTTCTTTTGTCTCGAATATGATTCGTCCTTCACACGACAGACAAGCCAAGTGTTAACTTATTTGCTCGATGTTTTATTTCACAAAATTCAGCCGATTTACAACTTTTTACAACCGTATAAATATAAAAATCGATGAAATACACGCATTGAAGGAGATTGCAGTTATTTTGGTGCAATTAGATTTTATATATTAAATAATATTTCAGTTTTTACAGCAKTACTAAAATTACACTCTGCACCAATTTAGAAATTATTCTGGGAAAAACTAGAGAAACGTTTGTCAACGTCGTGTGAAGAGAAGAAAGAAAAAATGGCGTATTTCCAATGAGACCAAGTTTGTTTGATGTGAATTTCAGTGCTACCACTTTGACATAAAGAATCATCTGTTGTCAAAATGTTAACTATAGAAAAATTAATAAAACARCATTATAAGTTTGCGAAGTTCACAAATTTAATGCAATTTAGTTATATTTGAATAAAATAAAATGTTTCGAAATATTATAACTACTCCAAATCGACAAACCAGCATAGTCAATGCGGCGTTACGGTTAAAGCATTTTTCTGTACAGCCCAATACACCTCAAGAAAGTAAGAAAAGTTCTACGTTGGACCGTATAAAGGAAGAAATAAATGCCGATAAGGAAAGACTGCAATGGCGGAAACCAATTGGGAAAAGACCCGGTGATTGGAATAGTAAACTGAAAGCTTTTGAAGATTCAGAACAAACTTCCGATTATATCATTATGATGCAGAAACCGATTAACCTAAGCCCAAGCGCCTTAAAGGAATGGTGGCGAAAACGCAATGAACGTGTTGAAAAACATATGCAAAAGTATGTTCAGGAGCGACATGAAATACTAGGTCCCGAACTAGCTGCTGCACATTTCATTTTATATCGCGGTGGTGCAGTTAAATTCTTACACGAACGAGGATGGATGCGAGCAAACGAAGATGGAGAATTCAATTTGCCAAATAAATACCACCCGGCCTTCAAAGTCGAAGGGCTTCGATGTGATAACATGACTCTATATTATGAAGGAATAGAGAATTTACGTAATTTACAAGAAATTAAATTTCTGTCATTTCATAATGTGAACACATTTGATGATTGGTGTTTAGATCGTGTATCTAGTTCTGGGTTTCCAAAATTGGAAGTTTTAGATATTTCAAATACGAGTTGCACGGTAAATGGTCTTTCTTGTTTATACCGCATACCAACTTTGAAACTGTTAATTGTCAACAACCCAAAAGAAACGTTGGAGTTTGAATTAGCATGTTCCATGTTGCAAGAARTTATACCAAATTTAAAAATTGTCGATGCAGCATCAATACATGATTTATAACAAAAAAAAAAAAATTGTTTTAAAATTGTATATTAAAAATCATATATAAAAGTAACATCTTCAAACAATTTTTTTTATTGTTTTGATCTTCTCTAGTCTTTTGGTGGTTTGGACTTCATATATTCTGACTTGATATCTTCACGCTCATCTACAGGGGGTAAGTAGGGCACAATTCCTTTTGCTCGACGGTCAGAACGGACTTTATTCTGAAAAATATTTGCAATTAATTTAAATTTTTTAGACCTTTAATTCATAAATACCCAAAAATCCTTGCAATTGTTATAATTGGCGAAATATACTTCACATTTATCTCTATCGTAGTTGTATTTACTCAGGCACTTATAAGATAGTTCCTGTTCACGTAAACAGGGATTGTCACGTTCGGCATTCGGATTTCGCGGCATTTTAAGCTATTATAATTATTAAAATGCCAGCTGTTATATAAATTTAAGCATATTTTTTCGTAAGCGAATGATGCTCAATGTTTAGAATGAGTTAACAAGGGAACACAAAAATTAAGAATGTCAGAATAATAAACAGAATTTAAAGCAACGAATTTGAACAATGTTGTAATATCCTTTATTAAACTATTTATAAGATTGCCTTAGTCGCTAAAGYTGATACTTGTGTATTGTTAAGTTTTAATTTTATTATCCTTTTCATGACTAATAATAATAAGAAGAAGAAAAAACTCATTTCATTAGAAATTTCCATTGGTATGCTGTAAACAAATCATGTCTAGTCAGTACTTTTAGCCAGTTTAAATAATCAAAATAATATTATTTTGCACTCACGGGCTAGTTTTTAGCTCGAGTAGTAAAGTACACCTTTTACAACACTGCTTCAATAAATTTATTGTTCTCTTTTTTTTTTTTTTGTGTTTCAAGCGAATTCGTTTTTTATAATTATAGGATTTCGCCTCGTTACTGTCAAAATTTTAGAATCAGCAAGTGATAATTCTTGTGATAGTATTAATAAGTGATAACTTCTTCATCTTTTTACTCAATGTGCGATTGAGACACATGCTCATTTCCTCAAAAACTAGCRTAGTCTACAGTTGATGCTTGTTGGTGTGTTAAAAAGTAGTGATAAGATATCAGTTGTTTTCATACAAAATTTTCAATGAAAACTGTATTCATTTATACATATGTGCCTATTCTGAAAACAGTTCACTAATTTTTTTTTAAATTTTTTCAGAAACGAAAGTTCTATCATATGATATACGTTGGTGTTATTACTGAACGGTTTGTGTGACAAGGGGCGCGCATTGCGCAACTCCTACCAAAATTCAACAGTGACAGCTGGGTGGTGTGATAATCGGTGGTAATTGTATGGAGATTGTGAAAGTACACGTAAATTTTAAAAGTTGAAAGGAAATTATCAAAAAGTAATATCGTAATATAAAAAAATATGAAGAAACGAATGGGTGCTTCGGACGGCAACAGTTCGGCCGATGAAAGTGGCGCTGAATCTCAAATTGCAACSAATAGCAATGCTGTCTCCGCAAAATCATCAAAACCACGCAATTCCTCGTCTATTTCAAAAGATAAAGGACTGGACGAATACGCTGAGACGTTCGTCATTGTAAATGAACGGCCAGTAGACGACATTTCGCTTGATTTCTTTTATAAACCGCATACAATAACACTATTTGCAATATCGGTACTATGTATGATGTTCTTTGCCTATGTCAGGTGAGTGCGAAAACAATTATAAATATATATTAGAAATGTGAGCAAAGTTTGCAAGTGGCAGAAAACATGTGGGCAACTGCTGTATCCATTTCTTACAACAGAAATACAAATTCCTTCAATTATTGTTATTGTACTCGGTTGACATTTTTTTTGTTGCAATCCTTGTATGCATTTTGACGATGCCTTTATATTTATTTACTTTCTWCCGCTCTCTGCTTATTACACCTTAGCTGATGATCCGAAGTAAGTTTTACATTGCACTAAAAATGTATGCTTTCATATATACCTTGACTTATTGCCTTTCACTGCCTGTCAACAAGGTGAATGTATTTCTACATACTCGTACACATACATACACTCCTCCTTCAACATCATAGAACAGTRTTTAACTATTCTAGGCGGAACAAAACGTGCTTCCGAAAAAGTAATCAAAATTAAAAGTGAAAAAGCTCAAGTAATTTTTTTGAAATGTCTATAAAATTATTAGCCGGTAAATTTTGACTTACATTAATTCTAAAACGCAGCAATTGATGGTGCAATTAAAATTTTGTTACAACTTAAAAAWACCAAAATTGGATATAAAGTAATCCAAAAAATGCATTTGTAATGTCAAAAAATTCACTATTGCAAAGTGTGGCGAAATCAATACAGGATATGCAACAACAATTTAAAGGACAATTCTACAATCTATTAAACAAGTTCCCTTCCTATCAGTCCAAATGGATGCGTAAGTTTTGTAAAACTTATTACACATTAGTTTATTCCATAAGAAATACGATAAAGTAAGTTCGATTGCATAAAACCTTAATATGTACATATATTGCATTTTTTGTGGTATTTCTGTAAATACGGATAACAATTTAATAATCTTGTAAAAATTTATASTTGTATTGATTAAACAAAAACGAAAGCCGTTAGAATTTGTATGTGCTGATTATGAATCGTTTGAAAATAAGTTYATTTTTCTTCTTCTCAAATGAAATCTTCGCGAACTATACCTCACGTGTTTGTTTTGTTAATATTTGTGATTATTTTTTATTTATACTTTAATGGGTCACACGTGCCATCATGTCAGTTCAATGTTGGAATTTTTTCTAATGAAAGGTGGGAGTATTTGTATGCAATGGTGGTTTGGGAACTTAAGAACTTAATTATTGTGTAGAATTAATATATATTTAATCTTTTGACCTTTTTTTTAAATTAATTAATAATTAGATTTTTATGGGGAAAATCGGAATATAAGTATGTATAATTATATGTATTGTATACGATCTAATTTTAAAAAATATGTTTATATTTTTATTATTTGAAATGAYTTTTGTAAGACTCTATTGTGTATGTACATATATATTAATCGGCAGCGTATCAGTTACTATACAGGGAAATTTAAAAATTCAAGACCTAAAAAATATTCAATCAAGCACATTGCACGTCATAAAAATTTGACCATTTTTGTAGAGGTTGCTGACCTCCAAAATAAAACACATTTACTAGTTTCAAAAATGTTGATTAGAGCAGAACAAAAAAATAGATGCGGATCTGCTCGCATTCCATTTTCCATTTGCGGCCAAGTTACCCATGTAATATAAATAGTAATTTTTTATGTACGCTAAATTATCTGGCTCGATGCCAATATTTAATTACCATAGATATTATAACACTCACATATAAAGTATACATATGTACATTGTTAACATTGATTTACTTAAATAAGTATTTAAATATGTATAATCACAGGTGAGCGAAAATATGTTTGGGCATTACTTATGTTCGTAGATATGTACCTAATCTAATTTCCTGATTGGATGAGGTTTCCGCCTAGCAACTAGATATATAATAAATTAAAAATATTTAAAAAAAAATCAAATAAATGAAAATTATAGTTAAATACTTACTCTAAGAAAAAGAAAGGTTTTTTTTCGTTAACATCATTTTCAWATATTAATTCCCTATAAATAAATTCTAACGCTGGATTTATGCTACTGACACTAAAAAGATCAAACAATCAAAATTGACACAGTTATCAGTGGTATGATTATATTGTGAGCAATAATTCACTAATATTCTATGAAATGACTAACTCCACACAGATTAATTTAAATTATGTTTTTAACATAAAATAAATTGTAAAATATAGTTTGAAATATTTTTTTTATTATTTACATTTATTCTTAGTCTTACATTAAAAATTGTATTTTATTTAATCTTCCCTCTAATATATTACATATTTTTCTATATATTTAAAATTTACAGAAATGAAACGAATATTGAGGATAACATTTGGGCTGGTATCCTGTGTGCGGTGTTCTTCTTCTTAATCATCTCGTTATTGGCGTTCCCGAACGGTCCATTCACCCGTCCACATCCGGCAGTGTGGCGTATTATATTCGGCTGTTCGGTGTTATACCTGCTAATGCTACAGTTTTTCATGTTTCAAAATTACAAAACGATCATGAATATATTCTACTGGTTGGATCCGAAATTGGAACACTTCCACATCAACATGGAAAAGGTTTGTGCGCCATATAAAAGCAAATAGCAAATACCATAATTAATTAAAATTTATTATTTTTTTTAGGAATATGGTGCCAATTGCTCAGACTTGAGCTTTGATCGCATATACAGCACAATCGACGTTTTCGCATGGGGGCATTTTCTCGGCTGGGCTTTTAAGGCTGTGCTCATACGCCACGCTGGCATACTGTGGGCCATCTCAGTTATGTGGGAGATAACAGAAATAACTTTCGCGCATTTGCTGCCGAATTTCGTTGAGTGTTGGTGGGATGCGCTCATCTTGGATGTGCTCATTTGTAATGGTCTTGGCATTTGGGTGGGTTTGAGAATTTGTAAAGCGCTTGAAATGCGCGAATATAAATGGGCGAGCATTAAGGATATCTCAACGACTACGGGTAAACTAAAGCGTGTTGTCTTGCAATTCACACCGGAAAGTTTCACATCTATACGATGGCTGGATCCAAAATCGACAGCTATGCGTTTTGCAGCTGTATGCCAGTTGGTTATATTTTGGCAGGTATTTTCATTTACACATTTGTTTCGGCTTACAAATTTGTAGTAAAAGTCTCCAAAATAATTTATAGGTGACTGAAYTGAATACATTTTTCCTTAAGCACATATTTGAAATGCCACCAGATCATTACCTTGTTGTTGGACGTCTAGTATTCATTGGTCTCGTCGTGGCGCCCTCAGTGAGGTAAGCATTCATTGCTAGTTTATACAAATTTCTTTGCATTGTTTAATGTTTTGTGTTTACTTAATTTGTTTTGTCTAGGCAATACTATACCTACGTGACKGACACGCGTTGTAAACGTGTTGGCACGCAATGTTGGGTGTATGGCGCTATTATGGTCTCAGAAGCAATACTTTGCCTGAAGAATGGCAAAGAACTGTTCGAACGTACACAAGGCATTAATATTGTCTTGTGGCTAATTACACAAGTTATCTTATCCGTGGCCTTTGTTTACGGTTGCATGTTGTGGCATGTAAGTTTAACCTGTTGCACTACCTAACGTTCGCATATATATTTATTATTTTTATTATTATTTTAGCGTGCGCAAGACAAGTATAATAAGTCCACAGAATCACCGAGCAAAAAGGGCAAAACACAAAATGCTAATAATTCGCCAMAGCACGAACAAAAAGGTGAGCTATTATTAGGAATATCGTATCTGCTATTTTCATTCAGYAATATTAAGCGCTTGATCGTTTTGCAATGTAGAAAATTTCACTTTTCTTGGTGGGTTTTTGTTAATTTTATTTAAAACTATATTATTTTATAATTAATGTTACCATACTATATCACTGTCATTGCAAATTTTCGTTTTGTTTTAGTGTTTTTGCTTATTTTTTTATTTRTGTGTATACATTTGTAGTTGCATATAAAAATTTCGTTACTGTTCCATTGTACTACACACATTCCTATACTCATAYCATATGTATTTTAGTATATGTTAATATTTAAACTTTTCTCTTACTCACCAATTYGCTGCTTTTTGTGTCTACGTACAGATCACAACCAATTTTTGCACCTATTAAAGTTCACCTTATATCTACTACGTGAGCCAAGTCTCGATRAAGACTTAGACGACATTAAAATAAAAATTGTATAATCATAATTAATTCAATTAGAAATTTATGGAGGTATCTTGCTCTAAATTTAGCTGCTTTTTACGTCCGAATTTCGTTTTGCTAAAAAAATTGTCATTTCATTGTTTATATGTAAGGAGAACTAAAAATTAGTGTCTAAGCATAAACTAATCGGATACTCTTCCTTAAAAACATATTTTATATTTTGCTATAATTTCGCTTTGTCCAACCTTTATTTGATTTATGTTAATTTGATCTTATTTTCTTCTATTTTATAGGCAAGAAATCACCAAAAAAATCTCCAAAACGCAACGTACAGAAAATTGAATAAAATTTAAAACACAAACCTAAACAGAGACAAAAACTCAAATATAAAAAGAAACACCAAAAACAAATTTGTTTATAAAATACGACTTCGCTTCCCTGTACAGCAAAATGTATGCGTTCATACATTAGAAACAAACATAAAATCCGAATCACGCAAATATTAGTATTTTTTTAGAAATGCGTTCAGTATACAAAACTCACAATTTAAGCGTTTTTTTAGTTTTGAATTACCATGGGAAGCAATAATATAAATACAATGCACGCAAATGGATGTCTGTACTCATGAAAGTAATTGTAAGCCACCTAACAGCAAGATGACAAAAAGTTTGTTAAAAAAAACTATATCAAAGTCAAGTGTTGACATAATAAATGCAAAAAAAAAAAATGGGAAAATGTAAACAAAAATAATTTAAATGTAATGCAACACATTATATAGGTATATATGTGTATATTACATATATCTATATATGTATATAATAAATAAATTAAAAAATAATCATTAGTTTGTACATTAAAGTTTGAACTGGGCGCTAAATATTTATAAAAAAAATCTGAAGGAACTCTAAAAAGCAAATACATATATGTAAACAAATTTAAAAAGAATAAAGTTTAAAGGGGTGCTTAAAATTAGCGTAAAGCTTAAGGCATACTTAAAAAATGTAAAAGCAAATTATGTAAATATTTATTTTTATACAAATTGCCTAACTTATTTTTCATATGCACATGGCATAAATTTGTTGTAATGTCAGGTGTGTATAAGTTTTTTTTAAAGAACAAAAAACGTTAAAAGCAATTACGCTTTAAAAATGCAAACAACTATACTCAAACGCAAATGCGCTTTAAAAAGACAAATTAATTTAAGTCAGAGTTTACATAATATCAAAACATGTGTTTATAAATATAATATGTTAACGTATGTAGCAATTAGCTGCTGGCTTTGTCAACGGTTAGAAGCACGTGAATTGTAACTAAGATTTTTTAGTAATGATATTAAAATAAGTATGATRAAACAATTTGAAATGAACGTAAAGGATGTTTTTAAATTAATTAATTTAAAATATGCCATTGAGCTGATAAATAATAAATTTAAATGCTCAATTGCTTATTATAATTTTTAATTTTGTTGTTAGAATTGATGAGCAAATACATTTAAAGTACCATACTTATTTATGGTAGTGTAATTGTTTCATTAYTATATCGAAATAGCAAAACGTTAATTATAACAATTAATTATTAATTCACAAATTTTAAAATAAGTAAATAAAATAAAAACAAAAGTTGAAGTACGCGCTTTTGTTTTTATCTGCTAAGTGGCATCCTTGCATTGACAAGCCAACTGTTAAGTGTTATAATAAATAATATCAACAAATTAARCTTAAGGCGACTGTCATTGTTATTGAAAACTAGAAAAAAATTTTCAAATTACCATAAAAAAAAGGCAAATAAGTGTATAAAAATAAAAGAAATAGATTTGTTATACACCATAGCGTTAAGAAAAAAATATAAATGAGTAAGAAAATGTAAAAAACTATACATGCAGCAAGGAATTCGAAACCCGTAAATTGAATAAAACTGACACTCACAAATGTGACATTCCTGTAGGAGTGTACCCTCGGCATGATATTTCGAAAATTTTAAAATCTAGCTAATAAATGTAAAAATAGTTATAACTGCTAATTTGTAACGCTCACTATAACTGATACAAACGAAATTCCATATGCCATACAGTCGCATATTTCAATTTGTTATTGAATAATAATAMAAATTTCAGGTGTTAGAATAATCTATAATTGATTTCATATATTATGAAATGCAAATATGTTTGTACTGTAACCAAAGTTTGCCCTTAATTTAGTTTAAGTTTGGTGCAAAGTGTTCGTACTTTCGAAAAATAGTTATAGCTAAAATGATTATTTCTCGTTTAGAAACCAAAATAAAGATAATTTTAATTAAAATATATGAAACATAAATTTGTGTGATATAAGACATTAATTTTCATTTGAAAACAAATAAATAAAATCTATTTTTCTTAGATGTGAGATACCACACTTTAAATTACGGCAACAAARATTTATATACATGATTTATTTTCCTGAATGATATGGTGGGTTTTTTGCTTGTTTAATAATAATTTTTTAGCTTTCAGTTTAAAGTTTTTATTATAATTAATACAATTAGATTTATCAAAAATATACATAAATACATATGAATAAAGCATTTTGTAAATATCAGTGTAGGTTTCATAAAGTTTAGTTTAGCTTAAAATTAGGCCAATTGTCATATAATGAATCGTATATATTTTTTTCAGTTGATATATTTTTATATGTATCAAATTATAAGTGATCCGTACAAGCCATTTATAGCATTGTTTTGGATTGCAGCCGTTGCCACATACATTCATACATGATAATCACACATGATACATTTATGTATATGATATTAATAATTAATTTGAATATATAGTATACTTTATTTTTGAGTTTTATAGACAATTTTAAACTGCACTGAAAAACTGCAGTAAAATAGTAAATGATGATAACAGGCAAAGTCAATACAGCAAGCAAATACTGTTTCTCAGCGCATTATAATTTTGCAAAAATTTATTACTGCTATAAATGTATATATTGCAAATGTGATTTTAACGTTTTACGAGTTAAAAATTGAAATCATATAGTATACATATGAGGTGTAAATGCTGAGGGACTAAGGGTATAATTTTATAACAATTAAACTGAACTTTTATAGTAAATTAATTATTATTTAATGCAAAGCTTATTGTGTATTAGCAAATGATATTGTAGATAGCTTTATACTTGCTGTCTTCGCACCAAAATATAATTTAATAAATTGCTGCTTACACATCAAGGCAAGCAGAGACGGTTTTCTTTACGGCATCACGAGCATATGGTATGTAGGAGAGAGAATACCAGGTCATAGCTAATGATTGTATGATGATAAAAATTAAAGTCAGACCGGCTTTATGAAGCTGCGTTGTTAATGAAAAGAACAAAAATAATTCTAATAAAACCATTTAAAATAATAAAAAGAAAAATATAAATATACCACAACAGCAGCTATAAAGGTCATGACAATGGCTACAAGTACTATGCAAGTGGCTATTAAACGTGTGGATGAAAACATTTTTTTTATTTGATTAACTGGACCCATAAGAAAGCATGTACTGAAAATGAAATTATAGCCATGAAATTTTATATACATAACAAATTGCATTTAGAGCGTAGATATCTTATCGTTTACATACCTAGCCATTGATATTATATTACCAAGCGTATAAAAGACCGCAAACACAACAACGCCTCTGTGTAAAAATAGGGCCAGCGAGCCGAGAAACGATAGTAAGATGCCAAGTACGAAACAAATGCAAAAGCCTTTGATGCGTGTCGACCAGCTAAGCGTTGACATCTCATTAATCTACCATGAACACGATGCATTGTAAATACAATTATAATTCATTGATTAGCATGAGGTTTCAAATAATAAAAAGAAGCTTCAAATAAGTTTGGTATTCGCAATAGCTTAGGCATAATGACCCTATTTCTTTAAATACGTCAACAAAAGACGCCCACTATATTCCCTATGGACCTACATTAGTAATTTAGATACTTCCTCTAAACGTTCGAATTATTTACCAGCAAACCAAATTGCGAACACTTGTTGCGTCAACAGCTGCTATTGCAACAGGYATACTTTTATAACATATCAATGGAAATATCACCACAAAACAATTATSTGGGGCTTAACTATTTTTTATAGCAATTGTATATGCTAGACTTGAATACATAAACTTTATTTTAAATGCAATATGATACATTACCTGTGTGATTATGCTACTCTCCTCCTCCGGTGTGGAATCATTTCCGTTAAGCACTCGACGCAATTTATCCATTTTAATAATATTTAATTAATAGTTTATACGTACTTATTTTCAAATAGGATCTGGGTGAAACGCAAATACCAACTAGTAAAATTAAAAACAAAACCGAATATAAAATTACAACAAAACAAAAAGAAATTACGGATGACAAACAATCGCTTCAAATGGAAATGTCACTTTGAGCAGACAAATGCACATACATATTTCTATTTGAAGTGTCAAGTTAGTGTTGCTGTTGTGTTATTCACAATTCCTATTTTTTATACATCTTYATTTGGTTTTTAATTAAATTATTTGTACATCTAATTCAAAGTTTTCTACATGTTGAGTAAAAAAAGGAAAAACGAACCACAAATGTTAAGCCGTAAAAGTGCTATTATTTACAACACTGCAGTAGGTACGATGGAATTATACCAGGTGCTATGCCAATCATATGCGCACATGTCCTTCAAACGTCAAAAACAGCTGTTTATTGTTTTGCTAAAGTGGGAAAATGTTAATTTTAAGAAATTTACGTTTTATAACAAAAGTTACAAAACCTGATGTCAATTTATTAAATAATGCCCCACGAATTGTAAGGGGACTGCGTAGTCAAACAAGACAACGACCTGATATAAGTGTTTCTAAAGGGATAGATGAAGCTAATACAAACCCTACTGCACAAGGGCTACATGACGAACAACATGCACAAAGCGGCATTACGGATACAGTAAATAAATATTTAAAAGATGAACTAAGACAGATTGAAAATGCTCAGTCAGCTGATGCCACCACCACCAACAATAAGGCTACACACAAGGAATATAAAAATGTCAGTGCCGAGGATGCCGATAATAATGCATTGTCCATTGGCGAGGCTAAAAAAGATTATGTGCCGACTTTCAATTTAGCAGCATATGTTAACAAGTCGCCAACGTTGCAGCAATTTATACAGCTCGGTGTTGATTTACATAGCATTGAAAGACGTAAAGGATTGGCCAAATTTGTGTTGGGTTTAGAATTTGAAAAGGATGTGAAACCGTATCTGTACTTTCTACAAGATCAAGGCGTTTCACCTGATGTATTTGGTGAATTTATTACAAAAAATCCACTGTTTTTCAAAATAGACCTAGATGACTTGCAAACACGCGTCAACTATTTGGAATCCAAAAATTTTACACCAGATCAAAGACAACGTATATTTACGCGCAACCCCTTTTGGCTGATGTTCTCAACGCGACGCATCGATCAACGACTGGGTTATTTTCAAAAAGAGTTTCGATTAAATGGCGATGATGTACGCTTTTTATCATCGAAACAACCCCGACTAATAACATATAATATGGAGCATATACGCAAATCATCATTTTGTATACGAGAAGAGATGGGCTTTGATCAAGACGAACTTAAATGCTTGCTGTTAAACAAGCCACGTTTGTGGATGATGGGTGAGTTCATTGTTCCCTTTTACTTTCCATATATTTTTTCTCAACTTTGTAAAAGTAATTTTATATTTTGTTAGACTCAGATCTTCTCATTGAACGTTTTGCTTATGCACACCAAACTATGAAGCTTTCGCATGATATGCTAATACAATTCCCGGAAGTACTTTCGTCGCGGGAATTTCGCTTGCGACAGCGACACGAGTTTCTCGTTACACTGGGTCGCGCACAGTATGATCCTGAGAAGGATTTATACATATCTCCAAGAGATTTGGTCAGTGGAAATGATTACCATTTTGTGCGCAATGTCGCTAAGAGTGATTTGGAAACTTACGAACTTTTCCTTAAGACGCGATAGTAATGTATACATACTTGAAATAATATGAAATGTAAAAAGTCAGTGTAAGAAATTTAGTTTAGAAAATAATAAAGTTCAACCATATATATATACATGTACCAAGTATATATATATACATTTATTTGTATTTGTTGTTGTCACCACAGAACACATTTCACGCATAGTTTTGAGGAATGCTGCCGATAGTCCTTAGCCGGTTAAAAATCTGGGTCGATTTCGTTTATGTATTCACAAYTGTCATGGGGACGGTTTCTATGTATTATATTTAATAGTATCTCAGCAAATATTTTTATAAAATTGAGGTTCACAATTTAAAACGCCAAAATCTTCCCTTATTATCAATCGTATTTAGTAGTTTTTATTGCATTTTTTATATTTTTCCATTTATCGTTTCTTTATTATATCAAAAATGTCTATAATATATTTAATAATATAATTATGCATGTACATAGGTATGTAAATATATAAATATATGTATATATTAGTTATATGTACGAATTGTATGTATGTATACAGGGGGGTTTGTATGCGTAACGGGTTTTTATTTAGTTTTGTATGGTTTATTAAATTCAATTGTATTTCTTTAATTTCCAAAAATTAAATTATAAACATTTTTTTTTAGTTTGGATATATATATACATATAGTATAGTTATAGGTATTAAAAACATTGAGGTTATTACCCCACGCCATACTTGGACTAAAAGCTAGAAAAACCTAACGCGTTCAGATGGTACTAGTCAACCTGTATTATGCGGGTACCAATCATACTACAATTGTAGTTACAAATATATATATACATAGAAATATGAAACATAGTTAATTTTAATGAACCGTTGTAAAATTATTAAAAAAAATTAAGTCTAAAAATAAGCTGGTGAAAATGTTAACGTAAAAGGAGCAACATATTGCGAGCGCAAGCATTATAAATAAAAAATGTCCATGGTTTCAAACTTTTTTTTAATTTTTAGCAACAAGTGGTTAAAAATGATGAAAACGTTTTATAAGACAAACAAATTTTTCAAATATGAATGATATATATATGTTTTACAATTAATTGTATCTTTACTACTAATAAAGTATGCTACATACTTATTTCTAGTGCATATCTTTTGTTACACTCATTGTTTTATTTTCATCATAAACGCATTAAAATAGTTTAGATATATTTATTTAATAATAAATGTYGTAAAAAAGTTCAAATACAAAGCACTTTCGTAAGAATAATAAATCGCATTTTAAGTTTGAAAAATTCGGTATAATATATGTAATAATAAAAGACCTGAGCCCACTCTTGTGTCGCACGTTTCGATCAGTTAGTACATTTTAAATAGGTTTGTATATATATTTTGTATTATTTTCATATACAAAGATTTGTTCCGCATATGTGATTTGTCAAATACTTTTATAAGCTTATTTTCAAATTCAAAAGTTGATTAGCTGTCGAATGACAAGCAATTAAATCAAATCACACAGCGTTAATTTTACTAGTATTTTCCATGGGGCACATATGCATGTATTTACATATGTGCAATTACAATTAAATTACTTTTCAATAACATTGCAATATAAAATGTAATTCGCTTTCATGTTGTTGTTGTTGTTCGCTTTCATCATCTGCAATGATTATCATAGCTGTGCTACACCCAACAAATACTGCCATGTGTGCAGTACACGTTAGTATGTGTTTATGAAAATTGAAGAAATTAAAAATAATTCGCTTATCTTCTTAACGCCAAGTCAGATGTGCATTACTTTGCTATAAATATCTCCACTGTTTTTTTTATTCTTCTTTCTTCGTTTTGTTGGTATGAAAATATGTTTAATTCTTTCTTGTATGTTAGCTCCTTAACATTTTTGCATTACATCTCGTATTTATTTTAATTTTTCAATTTTGTATTTCGCTCCGTTTAAAGATATAAAATTAGAATAATATGTATATAAATCACTTTTCTTTAACATTCAGTTCAGTCAATGACGACTCGGGTCAAGAGGATGCCACGTTTGCTCAGCCACAAGCTGCAAAAAAATATTTAGTTTAATATATTTTTCCAATGACTATTAAAAATAATATATGTAGATATGCTTACCCTAGTCCAGCGCCCAATAGCAAGGATAGTACATTTGAAAGAATGAGCGAGTATAGTATTTCTCTGGAAAAGAGCGAGTTCTTGCCTACGCGAGTCAAACGTATGGAATAACCTGAGCTTTTTTTCTTTTGTGGATGTTCGAATTTCCAATCTCTGCAAAATAAAATGACAATTGTTAAAAAGAAAAATTATTATTAAATTTAAAAATTATTATTAGCAATATTTTTAAATTTTAAAAATTTTAAAATTATTATTGAATTACAAATTAAATTTAACTAATATTTAGCAACTTTTTTAAATTTTATGCTAAACTTTGAGCCATTCACTTGCATATGCTCTAAGATATCATATATAATATATTTTGCTYACACATACTTTGGTGGTTGTTGATCCGGTCGACTATTCCATTCATCCAGCCAATCGGTGTCTTTGTGACTATCGCCTTCCTACAATGAGTACATGCATACATATTAAATTTAGAAAGCTTTAAAATCCTAATAGTTAGTGCTACAAACCTTGCTCCAATAATTTATGTAAACATTTTTGAGATCTTCGTCAGGTGTGAGTTCGGTATTCGGGCTGTTGGGTGGTGATTTCGGGCTATAAAAAGCATAAGTATATATTTTTTTTTAAAGAAAAAGATGGTTAAAAAATATAATGCTAGGCACATACCTGTCCCTGGGTGTATCACGTCGCGAACTGGCTAGGGAGACAACACGACTGGATTGATTTGATTCGCGTTGCGCCTCGCGTAGCAAACGTAAATATTCCTCGCCACTTGCGAAAGGCAATGGTGTGATTCTATCGGGGCTCTTCACGCCAGCCATTGTAGCGGCACTGCTCAGCTCAATCCAAGATTCTAAAAATATTAACGAAAAATTTTAAAACAAGTAAAATTTTATTAAAAAAAAAAAAAATTTACAAAAAATATATTATACTTATTTAAATATCAGATATGCTGGTTAATGCGCACAACTGCAACAATTTCAATGCGAATTTATCAACAAAAACACACAAAATAGTGTATATTGCTGGCAAAACTGCAGCAAACAAAGAAATTGAAGACAACAACAAATAAGTATAAAAACCAACACGTAAAAACAAAATCTGTGAGTCAAAAAGCTCTTTGTCTTTCAACGAAAGCGGATACACGATATACAGATATAGCCAGCTGCACTGCAATAAATTCACCGACTGACTGAATTATCTTTTGTCTACTGAGTGGCGCTCTAATGGACACACACTCCAACACCAGGAAGGCTTATCGTAAAGACTCAAGACTGGTCTCATATACAATCGCACACAATTTTTTTTGCATCATTGTATTTCATAAATAACAAAGAGAATCAACAGCAGCTGACTGTCGGCCCCCAACAGAACGTGTAACTTACGTATATTTGCGCTGGTAAACAAATTTTCATGGAGTTAATGGATCGTCAACAGCAACAAAGGCGGTAAATATTATTGAAAACAAATGCAAAATAGTACTTATATATAGAGGAAAACAAATATAGAAATATATGTACAAAGCTTATACAAAGTATTGAGCAAATATACTCATTTACTTGAATAAATGAGTAGAAATGTTTTAAATCACTCATATTGAAACATAAAAGACGCAATTGCATATAAATTGGTGGTATACATATGTACCTGTATATGTACATATATATGCATAGTATACATACATATATAGAGAACGTAAACAAACACGAGCAATATCTGTACTTGTATATACCTATGTACGAATACGAACCTATAAAAGAATAATGCCAGCAATTTAATTCATCAAAAGAGGGACARAAGAAAAGTAAAGTTTCCAAATGTACCATACGTGTTTCCCCCAGCGGGCAGGGGGTAGAATTTGCCCGCGGTAAGGTATGCCTGTCGTAAGAGGCGACTAAAATCCATATGCACTATGTCTGTATTTTTGGTTTGCCTAACAATTTCAGCATAGTCTTTGTCCGTAGCTACTCAGCTTGAACTGATATTATTGATTTTGAACGAGTTTCCTTCGAATGAAAAGACATTTGAAGTTCAAGTGGCAAATGTCACCAGTCATTGAGTTGTCGGGTACTCAAGAGGTAGTTGCAAAAGCTACAAGGTCTGACCGGAGAATTAAATCAGGTACCACGGTCAGTGCGCATCAAATTTGATTCGTTCGATACATAATTTCATTGTAATATTTAGTAAGAAATCCAATTTGGATTCAATAAGAAAGGGTTCTACGACARTCATAGAAAAATCTATTAGTGTTTTTCTACCAAGAAAGCATTACTCATGAAATATATCAGTGGTTTCAAAATTAATATAACYTTCCAAAGTGCATACGAACTCGGTAATAAACAATTATACATATGTACATATATAAATAAAGATCAGCTGATATTCTGTACTAAGTACTACCAGTTTATAAGTATATTTAAATATATTTACATGAAATTGCTTTGGAATTGTGGATAGTGAGGTAAAAGCAGACAAGTAAGCAAATAATAATATTGAATGAAAATATATGTATACATATGTAATAAAAAGCACAACGTCTTATTATAGAGAAGCGAATGATAATTGTAAATACACAAAATAAACCATCAATAGAGAAAAGCAAATAAAATGTGAAATAAAGTTTAGGAAAATAGTCATCTATTAATATATAAGTACAAGAGTGTAAAATAAAACYGCTCGTGGCGGTCAAAAACCTCATAATGCTATAAACATACAAACAAGCAACTGCGTATGAAATATTTTCCACCACATACATATTTTCATAGATTTAAATACCAGAGTCACATTTTTTTTAAGGAGAGACAGACAGCAATGGCTCCTGTAGCCGGTCGTCATAAAAGAATATGCCAATGTCGATTGTTAGTTGAGCAAACAAAAGGAGTATTATATATAGATATACAGACAGGAAGGTGTATAGATAGTAGAATAGATGACGATGGCCATTAGTGTCACTGCCTTAATCAGATTATACAGCCTTATGACACTCACTTTCAATAACAATCATGACGTTCAAGCTAATCATATTATTGGTTGTATGAAACCAAGGACATTGAAGTTAATGACTTGAAAGTTGTTGACATTTCTTTCAAAAAGAAAACTATAAAAAATTAGTTTAAGGTGTAAAATATAGCACACCCCACTATAATTGAGAAAATTTTATTTTATTATTGTGCAATAAAAATCGAAATTAAATATAATGAACACTCCTTTATTGTTAACTTCATAATAATACGCTACAACCATGTGTTATGTTAAGCAAACATCCCAGACGAAGCTAATCATAAGTTTACGGAAACTTTGTTTAAGCGTTGGCATGCTTGTTTTGCCTCAGGAGTCTCTTTGGAATTTTTATGAAATTGATACTATATATTTTTTAAAAATCCGGGTCAAATTTGATCAGTTTTTTTTTGCAATTAGGCTTGCTTACAAATTATTTTAAATAATACTTACAATCATATGCTTTATAAAAGCCATCTGAAAATTTGTTAATAATTTTCAAACCAACTTCTTACGGCCCAGCTTTTTTTTATCTTTTTACTTCGCAAATACTACAGTTCGCACTGTAATTAGGTTGGATCTCACCAGAAGAAAGTGTGAAGCGATCCCTCATTGTTATCAAATGAAACTGCGTAGGTGGCTATGTTTTGAATTTCACCGTTTCAGTTTTATTATGTGCAAATAGACTTTAGTAGATAAATCGTGCACATGCTATGGCTACAAACTGATTTTCTATATACATATATACTTTGTAAATAAATAACAATTATACTTTCCGCACCTGACCAGTCGCGAATTGTTGGTGCGTTCTCGTATCAGCTGACGATGGCAGTGGTGCTAATTTGGTTTTATTTTACTTAGATGTGTTTTTGCACAGTTATGACGCTTGTCGATCATGATAAAGAAGTTTAATGACCACAAAATAAGTGCGAATCAAGTGATGATTAATGTCTTGCAAAACGTTATCAAATGTAAAATAAAAAGCAATAAAAGGGTTTATCAAATTCAACAACATTAACATTCTTGAACAATATTGTAGTTGTAACAATATAAAATATTTCTGAAGTAATGTCGGAGAATGGTGCCGAGTTGACAGTGCTTAGCCGAAAAAAAGTCTGATCAATTTTCACCCGGACTGTTGCATAAGTGTTTCCGGGAATTCTGCTTGACAACAAAAGAGCCGAAACCGATTGGCAAACAAAAATTCGGACTGAATTTTTTACCTAAAACAGTATTATGATATTGTAAGCTTATAATTAGCATTATTTATGATAGTCATTAAAACCAGAATATGTCGCCATTACCAATTACAATAAAAGTTTTGCTCGCTTGACACTAGTAATGGTTAGATCACACTACACTCGTTATTGACAATTGTTCTAAGTTTTTATTGTAAATAATATACACTGTGGTAATGCAACAAAATCGCAAAATATTGTTTAAATAAAAAACAAGTAGCACAAGAAAAACTGGGTAGGCGAGTAAAACTAGGTATGGATTAATATATTTATAATTCGATACGAATGTAAATTTTTTACATATGACTGATTTTTAAAAGGCTTTACTACAAAACAGTCATTGAACGGCTATGTAAGCGATCGTAGCGTCAAGGACAACAACTGCGCTTGCGAGTGACAAAAAAACAATAAGAATAAAATGTATATATTTGCATGCAAAAACACAACCATTAGTTTTACAGAATGCCACGCTAACTGCGCATGCATAAAAGCCACGTTGACAAGCCACAGCGGACTGGCGTGGTGCCGTCCAGTTGGCAATAAAACAGCATTCTTTATCTACGATTCGCGCGGTTGCGAAAAACAAGAACACAATAGTTAAGTATTTTTTTTTATTTCCGAAGGGCGTGCGCATATATRTATGTATGTATATACTCTGTATGCCCACAGACTGTATAAAACAAAATCACTTCCATTAATTACAGTTAATATTTAAGAGGAGTCACTCCGCTATACTATATGCATACTATATATTAAATGCAAGTATAAATATCGTGTATGTGCTGTTATCTCAAGTGTTGTTTTGTACGTCGTGAGCCAGTGAGCCAGAGTGCAGTAACTTTTGCACAGCGCTCAATGYCATACAAAAGCTCGGCGATCACCCCGGGCCAGCACACAAGGCGAGCGACACAACAAATCATTTGGCAGACAACGATGCACTGAGGTACATACGAATCTGCATACTAGATGTACATATTTATGTGTGTATGTACACGTGGCCCCCGACATTCAGTCATTTAAATGTAGACTAAAAACTCTCTTTGTTGGCGTTGATTCTCTGTGCGTTCCCCACTATTTTTTGTTGTGTGTGCTTTTTTAATGAATTTATTTTAAGCATTTAGCATTTTTATAAATTTAGTATTTAAATGATTGCGGTTTTAAGTTGAGATTTATTTTTGTGTATGGCACAAAGCGGCAAGCGTTGTGGGTCAGCGGATGCCACAATTTAAGCAGGGAAATGTGATTGCCGTACGTTGTTGCGCACATTGTTAAGGGTGTGCGTTTTTGTGCCATTTGCACTTGCAACATAATTTTTTTTTATGGAACCAGTCCGGGTCAAATCTGATCAAAGGGTGAATCAGTATAGTTAGTAAAACTTAGGTATGCATATACATACAGATACTCTACGCTAGTGTTATCTAATTCGCGTCTTGCATCATCTACAACATTCTATAAATACCTTTGGTATCAGCATCAGTAATAGTAACTAATTATTTCACAGTACGGTGTATGCAACGGTTACAAACGTTGGTTGAAGGGGATGGCAAATAGTTACCTCATATTTTTAATTATAACAGTAAATAGCAAAGAGAAATGAAAAAGCATAGAGTTTAGGTAT